TTTGGTGTCATGGTGTCCAAACCACTTCTCACTAGAATAGTGACCAATGTTCCAAATCTTGAAGGCAAACATCTCAAGAACTTGTGGAAGAAGTCCTTATCCTTCACCTCTTCTCCAAGTGCTTTGAGATCATTGACAAGCACTTGAAGTCTATGGAACATCTCCGGCACACTCTCATCCTCCTTCATCTTGAAGCTTACAAACTTCTCTTTGAGAATGTATGCCTTTGCACCCTTCACGGCTTGAGTACCCTCAAATGATTCTTCCAACTTCTTCCAAGCCTCATGAGCCATCTCAATATTCTTGATTTGCTCAAATGTTCTCTCATCAATTGCATCATGAATAGCACTTAGAGCAATGTCATTGTTTTGGAGAAGCACTTCTTCGGCCGCAGTGGGATTCTCTGGATCCTCAATCTCAATTTTGGTTTCTACCACCTTCAACACTCTTCTATTGATTGACTTGATATGTGTGGTCATCTTTGATTTCCAATATAGATAATTTGTGCCATCAAATTGGGGTGGCTTCTTGGTGTTATTGATTTGAGCCATTTTTACACCGAAGGTTGTTAAGCCTCAAATCACGGTGACCTCGGCTCCGATACCACTTGAAAGGTCCTAATGGCTAGAGGGGGTGAATAGCCTAATAAAAATTTCTACAACAACACTTAACAAAAGGATTAGACAATTATGAGGCGAAGCGAGTTTTGTGCTAGCCTACTCAAAATGCAAGCCACCTACCACAATTCTAGTTTAGGTAGAATCTATTCACACAATAGCTATGACACTATTCTATGTTAGTGTGCTCTCAAAGGCTAACTAAAGAGCTACACTAACCATACTAACAAGCTCTCACAACTAGTTACACTAAAGAGCTTGACAACTACTTTACGGTAATGTAAAGAGAGTGATCAAGAAGGTTATACCGTCGTGTCGAGGAAGGAACCAATCAATCACAAGGATGAATTACAATGAAGACCAATCACCTCGGAATCAATGATGAGCACAATGATTTTTTTACCGAGGTTCACTTGCTTGCCGGCAAGCTAGTCCTCGTTGTGGCGATACACTCACTTGAAGGTTCACGCGCTAATTGGCTTCACACGCCAAACCCTCAATAGGGTGCCGCACAACCAACACAAGATGAGGATCACACAAGCCACGAGCAATACACTAGAGTACCTTTTGGCGCTCCGCCGGAGAAAGGTCAAGAACCCCTCACAATCACCACGATCGGAGCCGGAGACAATCACCACCCTCCGCTCAACGATCCTTGCTGCTCCAAGCCGTCTAGGTGGCGGCAACCACCAAGAGTAACAAGAGAAATCCGCAACGAAACACAATCACCAAGTGCCTCTAGATGCAATCACTCAAGCAATGCACTTGAATCACTCCCAATCTCACAAAGATGTTTAATCTATGATGCAAATGAGTGGGAGGGCTTTGGCTAAGCTCATAAGGTTGCTATGTCAATGCAAATGGCCAAGAGGAGTGAGCTTGAATCGGCCATGGGGCTTAAATAGAAGCCCCCACGAAATAGAGCCATTGTACCCCTTCACTGGGTACTGATCGGGCTGACCGGACGCTGGTCCTCAGCGTCCGATCGCCTGATGGCGGCCACGTGTCACCTGCGTTCAACAGTGAACGTTTGATCTCAACGGTCGAAATGTTGATCGGACGCTCCGACAGAGCTGACCGGACGCTGAACCCTCAGCGTCCGGTCGTTTACAGTAAGGGTCCAAAACCAGTTTTTGCCGACCGAACGTGTCCGGTTATGCTTGACCGGACACAGCCCAGCGTCCGGTGCTTAACCCTCACTACTGTGCCGTTCGACCACTCGACCGGACGCAGCCTTTCAGCGTCCGGTCGCAGAGCGACCCAGCGTCCGGTCAGTTGACCGACGCCAGCATCATTGCGACCAACTCCATTTCACTTCTAACTTCTTCACCCTTGCTCAAATGTGCCAACCACCAAGTGTATCACCTTGTGCACATGTGTTAACATATTTTCACAAATATTTTCAAGGGTGTTAGCATTTCACTAGATCCTAAATGCATATGCAATGAGTTAGAGCATCTAGTGGCACTTTGATAACCGCATTTCGATACGAGTTTCACCCCTCTTAATAGTACGGCTATCAATCATAAATATGATCACACTCTCTAAGTGTCTTGATCACCAAAACAAAATAGCTCCTACAAAATATACCTTTGCCTTGAGCTTTTTGTTTTTCTCTTTCTTTTTTCCAAATCGAAGCACTTGATCATCACCATGCCATCATCATCATGCTATGATCTTCATTTGCTTCACCACTCGGAGTGTGCTACCTATCTCATGATCACTTGATAAATTAGGTTAGCACTTAGGGTTTCATCAATTCACCAAAACCAAACTAGAGCTTTCACGCTCTACATGCGCGCATGCACTTTGACTAGGGAGTGCTCGACCATTTGGGCACTGTCCGTCCATTACGTGCACGTCCGACTATTGGAGCTGGCTCGCATGACAGAGATAGGCAACGTTGGATGGGTGGGTACCGCGCTTGCGTGCCTGCGAGTCAGAGCGCGTGGGGAGCAGCACCTCCTGCAACATACTAAAACTAGGTGAAACAATTGAAACATACATTTGCAACATATGTATAACCACTACAACATATGCAACATACATCTGAAATAGTTGAAACATTTAGAACATACACATGCAACATGCGTGTATAGCCACTACAACATATGCAACATCCAAATTAGACAGCTAAAACATTTGGAAAACACACTTGTAACGTACGGGTATAGCCACTACAACATATGCAACATTTGATGAAACGCTTGCAACATATGTTTGAAAAAGCTAAAACATTTAAAACATACACTTGCAACATACGTGTATAGTCATCGCAATATACGCAACACCAGATCTACTTTTGCGGAATCCAAATGAAATATATGCAATATATATCTAAAATGCATCAAATATTCGGCTGCAACATGTGCTCATCTACTTGCTGCCGCTCAATGATGACTCGTTGACGCGGGCATGGGGGAGCGCAGCGTGAGGCGCGGGTGACGCGTGGCGCGAGGCACGAGCGGGGTGTGCGGCACGAGGCGGGTCTACCGTGAGGATTCGGGGCGTGAGGCGCAGAAGCATGCGGCACGAGACGGTTCCGTCCCGGTGGAAACGTCTAGATTTTTTTAATATAGACCGGTCAGACCTGGTCCGCAGGCCAGCGAAAACGCGGCGTCCGATCCGCCGAACGCTAGGTAGAAAACTGAAAGGAAGGCGCAAGGAGGGCTTTTACAGGCCATGACTAGTGCCGCGTCCCTTCCCACGACGCACGACGGGTGAGCACGCACGCCCTTCACTCTGGCATGCACGGCCTTATCTAGTTCGTGGCTGGCGCATGCTAAAAATTAGCTGGACACGCTAACTACGAAATAGAACTAAACTAATCTACTCAGTTCTAAATTATTTAACGGTTTACTTTTTTTAATACATTACTTTTATTATATATATCTAAGCATAATGTATATCTAAGTTAAAAACCTTATATATACAACAGAAATCTCAACCGTCACAGTCTAACCTTGCACAAGAATAGAGATTTTATCACAGTTTGGCACAGTTCAATTTCACCAGTCAAAAGCTTTAGCTCAACGAACAACTCTACTGGTAGAGCTTAGCGAACCGTTTGGCAAAACGGCTTATGCTCAAAACAATAAAATGACTACAATTCCCTTAGCTTTTCTTTTCCTCTTCTTTTTCCTCGTCTCCTCACAGGTCTCTCTCTCTCTCCTTCCCCTGCTTGCCTTATCTCTTTCCTTATCTCCTCATGAGTCTCGACGCTCTCTGCATGGCAGCTTTCGTTGCACAGGTGGCAAAGGCGAGCCTCGGTGGCCGTGCCCCAGAGCCTGAGTCCCAACAGCCACGAGCACTGGCGGCGCGAGCTTGCGCGCTCTCTCCGCAAGCAGGGCAAATGCGGCTTTCGTCCCTGCTAGGGCCCACATGTGAGAGCCGATAAAGCTATAAAAGCTACTATTCAACTTTATCCCATTTTATTCATACATGAGAGTAGGATTTTTAGAGGCTCTATGAGTGAAGCTGCATGGAAAAAAATCAAACAACTTATGAAGTTGGTGGTGAAGCTATGCCAAATAGAGTCTTACTTAGCCGAGAATCTCCAAGAGGTATGGTAAAATTAATTCCCCTAGGTCGCCGTATAGGGTGTATCTGAACCAAAAAAAATCTCTCTCATATGTATTTCTCTTATCCAACAATTATCTTATCTTAAATAACATATAGCGTGGATAGATAACATAATATCTCAGATTTGATGGGGAAGGGTGATTTAAGATACCACTAAAAGTACAGAATGTTGAATAGTGAAATTGTTGAATGGTGACTTTTGTTGGAAGTTGGAACATAGGAATGATATGGAAATTTAACACGAGCAGTTCAATTGTTTAGGAAAAACATGAAAATAGAAAAAAAAAATCTTGCTTAGAGACCTTTGACATCCCCGGATCTATGGCAGTTCTTCCATCCATCCCTTTTGCTGACTCTCCTCTCTTCTCTGCAAGAGCATTTCTAAAAGATTAGCCAAATAATTTTCTAAAGATAAATATGTCTATTGTTGAAGGAAAAACGTCTCCAACAAATCGTGTAAATGACTCTTCAAATTTAGTAGATCTCTATTCCACCTCATTTGCTCTCTGCTTTTGGATTGCCCACCTCACTAGCCATCCTTTATAGAGTCTGTTAAAGTGCTATAATATTTTTTTTATTAAATCTATTTTAAAAAGTACCTAGATGAGTAAGATGCTCTAAAACCCTCGTGAATCCATGCATCATCAACCTCTCGAAACCCCCGTCAATGCCGCCGTCGTCGCTGGCAACCTCCCCCGTCAACGCACACCCATCTCTCCCTCCCTCACTTTCTTTCTCCTCGTCGGAAAGTGCTATCTGATCCTCTCCTCTGTACCATACTCTCCATTGCTTTTGGCAGAAATGGCGAGCACTGTGGACTTGCGTCGTTTGAGGGGCTTCAAGGGCCGGAACCTGCTCCACCTCGCCGTGGAGGGATCTTGCGTCACGGGGCGGCTGGACGTCTGCAGGTTCCTGGTCGAGGAGAAGGGCTTCGACGCCAACTCCACCTCTACGGAAGGTAAATCCCCAGCTCTGCTCGTTTGTTTTCGGTCAGGGACGAGCACGGCCGCCGGCCGGAGCCACGGTCTGAGACTGAGACGCTACTCTCCGGCCACCTGCAGGCGAGACGCCCATCTTCGTCGCCACCGACACCGATTCCAGATTACTGAACGGGGCCGAGAACGGCGTCGTCCCTCTTCTAACCTACTTCCTCGGCCGCGGCGGCGACCCGGCTGCACCCGACGCCAAGGGTTGCACGCCCCTGCACAATGCCGCGCAGTACGGTGCGTTCATTTCTCGCCCCCTTCAATCTCTGCGATTTCTTGGGATTAATTAGCTAGGTGTATTTAATTATACAAAGTTTTTTTTCACATATCTTATTCACTATTACTTGCATAATCCCACCAATTCCATAGGTAACTTGTTTCACTGATAGAGTCAATAGAGATTGAACTTTTAATTTGACCCAGCAGTCACATGGATTGCCGGCATGTAGTTCATGCTAACAGATTGAGTTTGCATCCCATCATTTACATGTGAGTACACACGTGGATGCATATCTATATGCCAAGTTTCATAGTTTATCCACCGAAGATGTGGTTTCCACCATATATTTTCCCCTGTACAAAGGACATACTCTATATATAGTCCCTCCAATTCAAAGCAATTTGTTTCATGATTACAGTCAGCCAAGCTCTTTTAGTTTGAACCACCTCCGATATATGTGAAGTTTCATGGGTTAGCAGCATGCAGTTGACGCTAACAGTAATGGATTCATATATCACTGAAGAAATTACTTTTGTAATATAAATTTCTCATTAAAAAAAATAGGACGTTACAGAAATTGTCCTAAGCGGGCGTATGTACAAGGTCTTTGGAGTTTCTTTTTGGAGTTTCTGCATTCTGTGTATCTCTTTGTACCTCCAGGGCACAGTGATGCTATAAGACTGCTGCTGTCCAAGGGTGTTCCTGTGGATCCTTTCTACCATCATGGGACGCCGTTGCACTTGGCTGCAGGGAACGGCCATGACCAGGTTCTGAAGATCCTGCTCGAGCATGGTGCTGATGTAAGCAATTAAAAGGACATCAGCTAAAAAGATTGTTTTCCTTAGTCTTGATGATAGATTGGGTTAAGAATTGATCTGGACATATTGTAACTGTTATTCACTTCCGTCCCTTTGCAGCCCAATAAACTTATCCGTCGTGTTACTCCGCTCCTGATGGCATGCGCTGGTGCCTCCTTGAAATGCATTAAGCTGTTGCTTGAGGTCCAGTTACTTATTGACTTAAACTTCTTGATCATGGCATGCTGATGTTTGTAGGCCATACATGTTCGCTAAAGCTACTTGTATTATCAATTCTGTAGGCTGGTGCTGATGTGAACTTCCATAGTTCACCTGGACCAACTATGTTATTAGCTGCAGTTGGCGCTGGCTCAGCAGACGTTGTCAATTTCTTGCTAGAGATTGGAGCTGACCCTAATGTTCATGATGGGGTAATAAGGGCTCTTTCATTGTCTCTGCTGTTTATTTACTTGATGCTTTAATCTGATGTCCACATTCTCACCGCGCGTTGCATATCCAATGGCTGGGTGGTACAGTAGGGTCAAGCACTGAAACTCTCTGGGATTCTGAGCTAGTTTCACTCCCCATAAAAAATCATTCATGCTGTTTCTACATATATTTAGCAAGTCGTAGCTTTTGCTGAGTGGTCATGAAAGCTTAAGTAGTGCCTGTAGGTCCAGAGCATATTGCTGAAATTATTCTACTTATTAAAAACACTAGTCTAGGCATGCATATATATAGTTTCCAGCACTTGATCACTGACTGGATTTAAGAGGGAGCACTTTTGCTAGTTTTCCTTAAAATTGTGCTCTATGTAGTTATTTAACAATATATTGGACTCTGTATTTCATTGGTGTGAATTCATGAATGTCTTATTTTCAAAAAAAAAAAATCGGAACCCGGGTATGGTGTTAAATGGGTAAGGGCCGGGTCGGCACCCCCTTGGTGTCGCGCCGTGTCGCGATCTGGGCATGGTGTCAAGTGAGGATCGGGTCGTCGCTTCCTTAGTGGCGCGCTACATCGGCACCCGGGTGTAGTGAAAAATGAGCAAGGGTCTTCACATCTGAGTCGACGGGTGCGAAGGATAAAGCTAGTCGGACCAATTATGATCCGTTTAGGTAGTTGGAATATAGGGTCGCTTACAGGTAAGTTAAGATAATTAGTTAATACCGCGACTAGGAGACGTGTAAATATATTATGCGTTCAATAGACTAAATGGAAGGGTCAGAAGGCGAAGGAGGTGGATAATACATGTTTCAAGCTTTGGTACACAGGGACAGTCGTAAATAGAAATGGAGTAGGAGTTTTGATTGATAAGAGCCTCAAGAATGGTGTGGTGGGAGTGAGAAGGCAAGGAGATAGGATTATCTTAGTCAAGCTTGTCGTTGGTGATATGGTCTTGAACGTAATTAGTGCGTATACCCCCAAGTAGGCCTCGACGAGAGTGCTAAGAGACAGTTATGGGAAGACTTAGATGGCCTAATTAGAGTTGTGCCTAGTAGTGGGAAGCTTTTTATAGGAGGAGATCTTAATGGGCATGTAGGTACTACAAGCGCAGGTTTTGAGGCAGTTCATGGAGTTTTTGTGTATGGTAGTAGGAATCAGGAGGGGGAGGAAGTTCTGGACTTCGCGGTAGCTTTTGACCTGATGATAGCCAACACTTTTTTAAAAGAGAGAATCTCATCTAGTGACCTTCAGTAGCGGACAACACTCTAGCCAGATTGCCTTTGTCCTCACAAGAAGAAAGGACAAACGAGTATGCTTGGGTTGCAAGGTGATACCAGGGGAGTGTGTTGTTTCTCAACATAAGCTTTTGGTGGCAGACTTTCATTTTCAGGTGCGTGCCCGTAGGGATAAACAAGTTAAGATTGAAATAACAAATTGGTGGAAACTGAAAGGGGAGACGTCAGAATTATTCAGGGAAAGGGTTATCAAAGAGGGCTCTTAGAAGGAAGAAGAGGACATAAACATGTAGGAGAAGATGGCAACCAACATTCGGAAGGTGGCCTCAGAGGTGTGTGGAGTAACCAAAGGAAGTGGAGGCGAGGCTAAAGATACTTGGTGGTGGAACGAGGAAGTCCAAAGGGCTATTAAGAAAAAGAAAGAATGCTATAGACGCTTGTACCATGACAGGGAGTGTGGACAACATAGAGAAGTACAAGGTGGTAAAGAAGACTGCAAAGCGAGCTGTAAGTGTGGCAAAAGATAGAGCATACGAGGATCTTTACCAATATTTGAGTACGAAGGAAGGAGAGAATGACATTTATAGGATGACTAGGGTTCGTGAGAGAAAGATAAGGGACTTCAACCAAGTTAAGTGCATTAAGGATGAAAGGGAGCATCTCTTGGTGAAGGAGGATGAGATCCGACATCGATGGCAAGAGTATTTTGACAAATTGTTCAATGGTGAGAATACGGACACAACCTTTCAGTTGGATGACTCTTTTGATGACACCAATAGGCGTTTTGTGTGGAGAATCCAAGAATCTGAGGTTAGAGAGGCGTTGAAAATGATGAAAGGAGGTAAGGCGATGGGGACCGGATGGTATCCCAATCGAGGTGTGGAGACGCCTCGGGGACATAGCTATAGTATGGCTAACCAAGCCGTTCAACCATATTTTTCGATCGAACAAGATGCCTGACGAGTGGAGGAGAAGTATATTGGTACCGATCTACAAGAATAAAGGGGATATTCAAAGTTGTACTAATTATCGGGGAATTAAGTTGATGAGCCATACTATGAAAATATGGGAGAGAGTTATCGAGCATCGCTTGAGACCGATAACGCGGGTTTCTATGAACCAATTTGGTTTCATGCCCGGAAGGTCAACCATGGAACCAATTTTCTTAATATGACAAGTTATGGAGCGGTATAGGGAGAAGAAGAATGATCTACACATGGTTTTTATTGACTTGGAGAAGGCTTATGATAAAATACCAAGGCATGTTATGTGGTGGGCTTTGGACAAACATAAAGTCCCAACGAAGTACGTCGGGCTCATTAAGGACATGTACAACAATGCTGTGACTAGTGTTCGAACAAGTGATGGAGACACGGATGACTTTCCGATTGGGATATGACTACATCATGAGTCAGTTTTAAGCCCTTATCTGTTTGCCTTAGTCATGGATGAGGTCACAAGGGACATACAAGGGGACATCCCTTGGTGTATGCTTTTCGCGGACGATGTAGTGCTAGTTGATAAAAGCCGGACATGAGTGAATCAGAAACTGGAGTTATGGCGGGAGACTTTGGAGTCCAAAGATTTTAGATTCAGTAGAACTAAAACTGAGTATATGAGATGTGACTTCGGCACTACTACTCGGGAGGAGGAAGATATTAGTTTAGAAGGTCAAGTAGTGCTTAGGAATGATACCTTTCGATATTTAGGATCAATACTACAGAGAGACGGGGATATTGATAAAGATGTTAGCCATAGAATCAAAGCATGGTGGATGAAGTGGCGCCAAGCATCTGATGCCCTATGTGACAAAAGGGTACCACATAAGCTAAAAGGCAAGTTTTATAGGACGGCGATTAGACCTGCTATGTTGTATGGTGCAGAATGTTGGCCTACGAAAAGACGACATGTTCAACAAATAAGTGTCGCGGAAATGCGTATGTTGCGTTGGATTTGCGGTCATACAAGAAGGGGTCGAGTTCGGAACGATGATATACGTGATAGATTAGGGGTAGCACCAATTGAAGAAAAGCTTATCCAACACCGGTTGAGATGGTTTGGACATGTCCAACGGAGATCTCCAGAGGCACCGGTGCGTAGTGGAATCTTAAGCCAGGATAGTAATGTGAAGAGAGACAGAGGAAGATCGAAGTTGACTTGGGTAGAGGCAATAAAAGAAGACTTGAAAGGATGGAATATACCCAAAGACTTGGCCTTAGATAGGAGTGCTTGGAAAATAGCTATTCACGTGCCTGAACCTTGATTGCTTATGCTGGGTTTCAACTGTAGCACATCCCAACTTGTTTGGGACTTAAAGTATTTGTTGTTGTTGTTGTTGTTGTTAAGAAAAAAAAAAGAACCTGAACTGTTGATATCATTTCAGCTTTCATAAATATTCACTTCGATTTTTTCAAATACAATGCAGTACGGGAAGTTCCCAATCATACTAGCAGCTGCTCATGAGCGCCGTAAGCTTGTTGAAATTTTACTCCCTCAAACAAATCCAATTCCATCCATGCCAGACTGGACCGTTGATGGGATTGTTAACACCATGAAGAATCTACCTCGGGTATGTTAATTAGCACACTTTTCCAAGATAATAGAGGAAAGATGCATGATTATGATTCCATGATTTGAATATAGGAACAAAAATTTGCAAACTGCTGTCAGAATCTGTATTAGTAGTGTCATGCATGGAACTGAACATGTGCTGCCGTGGTTATATTATGAGACGGTGCAGGAGATGGTACTAGAACCAATAGCTAATGCAAAGTCACAAGGAAAGGAAGCATTTGCAAATGGCGACTACGGTAATGCCGTCGACTGCTATACGCGGGTATATCCTTGAACCAAAATATGTCGCGTACCTGTTGGGGTGATACAAAATGCTGCACAACAATAGCTATTTATTTAGTTCTGAATATCATAACGCTAAAGAGACATGAATAATGATGGGGCCTCCATTTTGCCTTAACATGAGATGGCTGAACAGAACCAGCTGCTGAATCGAATTCAATTCACTGTAACTGAAACGAACCATGAGATGACCAAATTCTCACCACTGTTCATCATGCAGGCAACGGTGATTGACCCGCGTGACGCCACCTCATTCGCCAACCTGAGCCTATGCTTGCTGAAGCTGAGAGAGAGGGGAGCGAGCTGTGCTCGCCGCTCAGCAATGCCAAAAGCTGCGTCCTTGTTGGGCCAAGGCATGGTACCACGAGGGCGCAGGTCTCAGCTTGCTCCAGGTGTATATATATATACACATATAGCTCACATTACATCAAACTTAGTCTGGTCATCTCTAGCTGCACTTGTAATGATGAAATGATCTGATGGGGATAATCTCAGAAGTATGGAGCAGCGGTTGCTGCGTTCGAGGAAGCGCTGAAACTTGACCCTGCGAATGATGAGATCAAGGAGGCGCTGCGGACGGTGAGATCAAGGAGGCGTTAAGGTATGTCACTCTCATTTGGAATTGGCACCATCGTTGATACGTACTTTCAGTGGTTACTCTGTGCTCTTGCATGCATACAGCTTCTGTGGTGTGGGTTTTGATTCTTGAAACCTGCAGAGAGGCCATGCATGAGGATCTCCTTGCGCAATGTAGGAGATCGAGAACCCTTGATGAGCAGCTGGATCCTTCACATGTCATCACGCATCGATAATCCTCCTCCTCATCAGCGGTGTATGGGGCTGATATACTAAGTGAAGTTGCCAATGCAAAATGTGCTGTGGCAGCAAAGACTAGTTTTATTTCCTCCTTTTGCGTTGAACTCTTAGATCATTTCCTCAGCAGTGTATATGGCTTCCGGTAAGCTTTAGTTTTTAGGCAGCCAGGAAAATATATGGACTGGGCGGTTATGCTAATGCTCGTGATTTCGTTGAGATTAGTTGGGTCTCACACTTGCAAGCCTGTCGATCCATCCAACTAAGCAAGCCGTTGAGGACTCGGCGCAAGCAATTTCTAGAACAGCAGCAGGTACAACGCTCGATCTGGGGATTGTTCTTAGTCTTTTTTTTTACGGAGTTAATCAGCTCATTTGCCGAGTTGGGAGCTTTGCATGTTGAGGGCTGGGCCGTATTTGACTTGTTTGATCGATCCCGGCGTGTCCGCGTGGGCATGGCGGCCCACTATCTGTATTTCCATTTTTTTTTTGTTACACAATCAAAACAAAAAACAAAGTTCCGTTTTGTACTATAACACTATATAAACAAGTTGGGATATATCTATTCGTTCCTTGAACCACAAATAGTAACTAAACCGTTAGCATTATATATTCTTCATTTATTTATACCATTTGTGTTTCAGTTGCACATTACCATATACGAATAGAAAAACGGAGGCCCTTCGCTAGAATCGCCCGTGTACGGTGCCGCTGATAGCTAGCTCCACTAGTCTTTGCCGTGTACCTTCGTTTCGGAATATAAGCTTATTTTAATTACGAAAAAAAATCATAGATTTTGACTCTTAATTTCTCTTATAATACATAATATAGTACTATTTTTTATTTCAATGACAAAAATAGAGTCATATAAAATATATTTTGACGTTTAATTTCTCTTATAATGTGTTGTCATTTTTTTGAGTGGAGGGGAAAATAGGATGGAGCTCCGAGATAATTTTGTTTTCTTATTCTTCGGATAAACTTCAGCAAGTTTATTGCTTTGTCTCCTAGTGCATATACGTAACTGAAATTTGTTATTTTCGTAATATTTTTTATAAAATGAGTTTGAATCTCAAATTGGCGGCAATATATATCTACAGGTGCATTATGGATGCGCATCGTTTTAGATTTTTTGAAAATTTTCAGACGTATGTTTGCAAGTGTGTTTATCTAGATATTGCATGTGTTTCACACATATGTTGCATGTGTTTTATTTGGATGTTACATATATTTTGCAATGGCTTTTTTCAAGCGTTTTTATAAGTTTTTATAAGTTTTTCAGACGTATGTTGCAAGTGTTTCAACTGTTTCGAACGTATGTTGCAAATGTTTTATTTGGATGTTTCAAAAGTAGATCAGGTGTTGCATCTTCCTCCTCGCCTTCTGTTGCCTCGCCTCGGTGTCTCCTCCTCTTCTCGATGTTGGTGATGTTCGAATGGCATGGGCCTGCATGGGGGCGAGCGGCGTGGGTGGGGCGAATCGTTCGAGCAGCGTGGAATCCGAGCGGGCGGGGCGTGCAACACAGAGCAGGCGTGGGAAGCTACGTCAGGATGCGGGCCTAGGGCTGAACGTCCAGGCGCCTGACCGTTAGGATAAACTTCAGCAAGTTTATTGCTCTATCTCCTGGTGCATATATACAGCTGAAATTTGTTATTTTTGTAATGTTTTTTTTTTACAAAATGAGTTTGAATCTCAAATTTAGCAGCAATATATATCTATAGGTGCATTATGGATGTGCATCGTTTTAGATTTTTTGAAAACTCCTAACTATGTTTTTCTTGGGGGGTCTTCACGATTCCACCGAGAAAGTAGTTTGAGCAAATATTTTCCCTTTCATATGTTGTGTTGCAAGAAGAATTTTCCTGTTCTCTTTTCATTGGCCCTCCCCTCCTTCCATGCATCCAAGGGATCTTGGATCCCAAATACATAAAAATTATAGATTGCATCAACGGTCATTGATTGGCATCTCTACACTCTACGGGCATGTTTGGTTTGATGCTTCCAAAAACTTAGGCAGTGTTAAATTTGGCTTGGCCCACCACCCTCACGAAATCACTGTTCACGCCCCGCCGAAATGATTTTTCTCTCACAACAATCAGCCGGAATAATATTTTTCAGTCCTGCCGAACAGACCCTTACTGGCCTAGGCATGGCTGGAGGCGTCTGATGTTGGATGCCTAAGGCCAGGATTGCTTGCCAACCTAAACTCGCCCTACGTATTTGAACGACGACCTGGCTGGCAGCTCCCTGCCAGGCAAAACATCCTGACCATAGTCATAGCAATCGGACGTCTGGTGGCCTTGCGTGAGCCAGACAAAAATCCCACGCTTGTTTAGTTTTTGGCCGGGCCTCATGTAATCTTTTGTACTCCTGTGCTTATATGAGAATACATAAATCCTCCTAGGTCGATGCAAACTTGTGCTAGTTCCCAACGAAGGGTTAGAAACGCCTTTAAGTTTGAATTTAGCAAAAAAAAAAAGATAGATTTCGAACGTAGCCACTCGAAATTCAGTTCATTTGCTGGGACGCTTTGCATGTTGGGTGAGGTAGCACAATTCCCCAACTGCTCACCCAGTCAACGGTTGCAACCAAAATAAACCTGGACAGAAACGCCCTCCGGCTCACTGGCCGCGTTCATGCATTTTGTTCGTGCTGAAACTGAAACGCATGCAGATTCTGCAGGCTGTGCAGCGTATCGCCGGCCGGACGGTCAGAAAAGGCAATGTGGTCATCACTATCAAGAATTCAAGATCTGCTAGTACACCTTTTGAGAGAGAGAATAGCAAACCCCACAAAACTTTTCATGTGCATGACTGAACAAAGATGCTACAAGTACCATTTGGACATGCCGGAGATGGTGTAATACAGCATCTGATTGCAAACCTTCAATACTGAAAATGTAATTGTAGAGGGTATATATATAAAGATCCGAACCAGTCACAGCTGGATATTAGGGCAGTTTAGTTCAGGACAAATAAAGGAACTACGTTATGTTATTTTTTTTCTTCAACAAGGAAAAAAACTGAAGCAGCAGCACTCTCCCATGTAGGAACTCATCGCCAACCTAAGTTCAGGTTAACAATCTCGCCTCTGTTTATCCAACCTAAACGTCAATTCTCACAGCCTACCAAATCCCAAATTACAGCGACTTTCAGCACATATGTATGTATGGTAACAACGAACGAACAAACAAACAGATTCTTGAAGAACAGAGCATAATCTAGAAGCATCGGTGAGAGGATGAACTGCTGAGTATATATGACACTCAAACCCTTTAACTCTGATGATGGCCTCTTCCCTGGCGGCGGAGCAACCTTTGTTCTAACTACGAGATCGCCAGCCAGGTCGACGACGGTCCGTTTTTAAGAAGACGCAGACTTTGGCCGCCCATAGCTTATCACCATCACATAATCTCCCCCAGAGGAGCCTATCACCGTGTGCAGCGGGCGTGTCGGGCCAACCCTTAGCCACCGCTCCACCAAGTTGCGCACAGGTTGCCCGAGGTTCACTGTCTGCCCACAGCACCTTATTTCAACCTGTATAAACAGAACTGTTCAGACAAATTGTAACGCTAAAAGAAATATTAAAACTGAAAGGTGCCTAAAACAGTGGGGACATAGGACTTTCTGCGTATGAAATGCACATCCTAACTGCAACGGAGAGAACAGACGGACTATCTCTGCCAGTGCCATGGCATCGCTCCCATACAAGGTGATAAGAAACGCTAAGATCAGACGTGTAATTTCACCTCTATTTCTAAGATGAGATGTAATCAATTCTGGAACATGCCAACATGTACCGGTGCCAACAATTATCTAAGAAGCATCTTTAGCTACAAAAACTATGGACTGCTTAGATAATTCAGGACCGCGTTAAGAAAAGTAAGCACAGAAAAAAAATAGTCACTACAAAACATAGAATGGTAGGAATCTTACCTCAGATTCGCTTAGAAGGCTGAGCTTCTGCATAATGTACCTTTGGATGGATGATGCGGGTATGCTCCCATCCCTGTCACTTGGCAATGTATTAGCCACATTTGATATAACTTAAAGATTCTTTAGTTAAATAAAACAAATAGCTAGCGACATTGTGGTCACAATCAAATTATGAGATGTTTCTAGATTATTACTGAGGATCACACGTGCTCAGCTGAGCTAACTAATGTGCTTGCATATAATGCATTGTGGAGTGAGAGCAGTTAAGAAGCCCCTGACTAACAGACTAACCGCCCTATTTGATTCCAGGGACCAAAAAAATATGAAATTGATAGCTAAATTGAAAATTAAAAAAAAAAAATGTAGTCTTATGCATCACACAGGTTACAGTTTCGAGGTTACTAGCATTATGTATTTAAGTTAGGCTGAGACATGCATTTGTGGGTGACACCATCAGCTATGACCAATGAAAAACATAGTAGTATTCATTTCTAAGTTCTTACAGATGTTCTAGTTTCCTTTTCCCTGCTTCATGCTTCTCTTTTATTTATATATAGAGAAGTTTGTTCTGCAGCTAGCCATAGAATAACTTGTTCTATGGCCACTTTGAGTTACGATAATGATTCAATGCCAAGAACTTCAATTCTGGATGCAGGTTTCAAAATTATTAATATCAAAATCAGAACCACTAGTGCATCAGTAGCAGAACAAAGTAATATGAGCTCACTTTATTCTCAAATAGTGGGCAGGTATCTGAGGCAAAGGAGGGTTGCCTTTCCTGGAAACAATTATGTAACAGAAGATCAGGGATGGATTACATCTAATATATTGCTTCGATTAAAGTATGACAGCTGATACTATGATACGACTTACTGATCAAACGAGGCAATCAATGAAAACCATATTGGGCTCAATGCCTTCCTGGCCTGGATAGCTGTAGCAGTGGAAGCTGCATTTGTTTCAGGTAGGGGGTCTTTCCTCTTCCGGGCAGGCCGCCCTCTCTTTCTAAGCAGCACTATTGGCTCAGGATCGTCGCTTTTGTCATCTTCAGCTTTGGACTTCTGAAGAGGCTCCCTAGCCTCTGTTCTGCTAGAATGTTCGCTACTGGGAGATTCTCTGGGCTTATTTCCCTTCAAAGCTGGACTTTGTGCACTTGTCGGGGTCTTTGTTTTGCCTGCAGCCTCTACAAGACAATTCAAAGGTTTCCAGAGCTCAGACTTATCCAAGTCCTTATTATCACCTGCTTTATCTTTAACAGAGGGATGACTTGATGTGTCCCCATTCGACAATAACTGCAAATGTTAGTGTCAAATTCGTCATTCTTCCATTCTGATACACATTCATGCATACTCCAAAGATACATAACAGGGTATGATATAATTAGAATGCTCGAGTATTTGATTACCTGTCTTCTTGTTTGAGGTATTTTGCTCAAGCTATCTAGCAAGCTTGAATTATCAGTTTGCTTATTCGAGTTATCATTATCCTTTTTTAAAGGATCCACAATGATAGGACCAAGGCCACGTAATGCAGCAGCCTTCCTGGTAACCGCTCTTGTTCGCCTCCTTGTCGAAGCTGCTGGGGCTACCCTAGGTGTATTGACCACCAATGATGAGATAGACCTCTCTTTAACTTTAACAGGTAGCGTAATGGGAGATTCGCTTCTTCAGCGTTAACCTTCTTCCTTTTGAATGGAAAAACTTTTGACCTCACATCTTGTATATTGTGATCAGCTCTGAAATCAATACATCAAAAGGTTAGAATAAGAGGGCAAAAGATAGAAGCTAACAGGTAAAACTGCATCCACTGAAATTCTTCCCTAAATCAGAAGAGTAGCATGATGAAGAAAGGGAAACTATCTTGGTCAAATAGCCAATAGAAACATTCAACTGGGTTTCAGAAGACAAGCATTCCTTTGACTTAATAACACACGGTGAAGTCTCATAAATAGAAACCTACACTTTGTTAAGAACAAATGGATGTGAAGACACCCAGAAAACACAGCGGATGTGAAGACACCCAGAATGAACACCAGCTGTCAATCACAGAATGCGTTTCTGGCGGGAGATTCACAGGAATTCTTATTTGAGAGCTTCATGGTAAGTGGAACATTTCGTACCACTATGCATTTCTTTGGCATGAACCTCAGAGGATTCAAGAAAGCAAGCTACAGGAATATCTTATACTTGAGATAAGCTAGTATGCTCGATAGCAGAGAATATTACTATTCTCTGGAGTGCAACATTTCCAAAAGATCACTCTAAATTCTAAATTACTTCAAACTGTAGAGTTGTAGCTCCGTTATCTAATTTTGTTCGTTACTATCTGCAATTTAGAGCAACTATCAAATACGATGATTTTGTGGCAAAGCTTTTGTTCTGCCATCTTGCTATCCAATGGAAATAGATGCTAATGGCACGAAATCAAGGAAACTTCGTTGTGAAGTCAAGTAGTGCTGAAACATGTATCTTATCTTAGAAGTAAGAAAAGTAAAAGAATATTTAGCAAAGCAAAACATTTGTCATAGAACAAAAATTCCAGTTGCTCACTACAGTTGCATAAAGAGAAGGGTCAGGAGAAAAATACCTAAGCTTGTCGACTGGAGTGCAGCCCAGATCAATGTTACATACTGGACAGTGGTCAAGATCCTCATCATTGAGCTTGTTATAAATACACTTTCTACAAACTGCATAATACAAAGGACACAAGGAAAATAGAGGTGAGAACTTCACGATATAAAGAATTTGAACAAGGCACTTCACGATATAAAGAATTTGAACAAGGCACAACACAATGCTTCATTTCACATAAATAGAAATTGCTGTCTACACAGAAGTTCTTTCCGATTGAAAACATTAAGAATGTTCCATACTGAAATATACCCATATCATGAGAAGTGAAATGATACAATGCAAAATAACAAGACGGATCAATATTTGTACCAGCATGCACCATATAACATGAGATTCATATCGATCCTACTATTTCAAAAGCACACACAGCATGAACAGTTGAACCAATCCACTCACACATGCAGAGTAATCAAGTTGTCAAGTGGGGCCACGCCTATACAAGGAAACGGCGCGCCCGGGATGGCCGCAGAGCCACGGAGGATTTGGGCACGGTCACCATGCAGGCAGGCGCGCCAGCTGAAGATATGGGCGTGATCTCCAGGCATGCAGATCAGGAAGAAATGGCAAGTGGCTAGAAGGAAATAATAGCCGATCAAGGCCTTAGATTTAGGAGCAATTAGCTCCAATTTGTAGTGCCGAATGGCCTATATATGAGAATAATCAGGATGAATAATAATCAAGCAAGAATCATTACCTAATCTCTCTTCTTCCTCCTCTAAACCGACTGGAGCTGAGGGGCAAAACCTCGCCCAGCTACCACGGGTCGCAGCTACGAACTCCGTAGTCGGGGTCCTGCTAGTCTCGGACCTGACGTCCTTGACAACCTGGTATCACGATCCAGGCCTTCCTCGCCTCGCCGATCATCCTCGCCTCCGCCGCCGCTCCGAGCTACGTCTGCCCCGCCCACCCCTCACCAAGCCGCTGTCATGGGAGACCGGGAGGCCGCCCTACAGGCTACTCTAGACGCCCTGGCCGCCACCCTCAAGTCTCTGCAGGCATCAGTCGATGCCAACTCTCAGGCGATCCAACGCCTGAACGCTACCCAGCCGACGTCGTCTTCCTCCGACAACAAGTCCGCCATAGGGGAGCACCACCAGGACCGGCCGCCATGGTTCCAGAAATTGGATTTTCCGCAGTATGATGGCAAATCCGATCCGCTCATCTTCATTAACCGCTGTGAATCCTACTTCCACCAGCAGCGCATCATGGAGGAGGAGAAGGTTTGGATGGCCTTCTACAATTTGGAGGAAGGTGCCCAGATGTGGTACATCCAGATACAGCAGGACAAGGGAATTCCGTCGTGGCGCCGTTTCAAGGACCTGCTGCACCTGCGCTACGGGCCTCCTCTGCACTCGAACCCGCTCAGCAAATTGGCGGCGTGCAAGCGCACGGGCACCGTCGCGGAGTACCAGGATCGCTTCCAAGCGCTCCTCCCTCACGCGGGCCGCCTGGACGAGGAACAACAGGTCCAGCTCTTCACCGCAGGCCTCCAACCGCCGCTCAGCTTCGACGTCGAGGTGCATAATCCGCAGTCCCTCGCCGGAGCTATGAGCCTGGTGCACAAGCTCGAACTGCGGGAGCAGTACGCGGCGCCTCCACCTCGCGCGGCGCCCCGAGCACTCTTACCGGCGCCCGCACCGCGTCTTGCTCTGCCGGCACCGCCCGTGACCACCTCGACCGCCCCGGCCATAGTCACCGTGGAGGGCCGGCCGGTCAAGAGCCTCACCCAGGCCGAGCAAGAGGAACGACGTCGCTTGGGCCTCTGCTACAATTGCGACGAGAAGTTCGGCCGGGGCCACAACCGGGTCTGCAAGCGCCTTTTCTTGCTAGAGGGCGTTGTGGAGGACGACGAGGACGTTGAAGAGGGCGACACCGAGACGAGCCCCCACTTCTCGCTCCACGCCATCGCTGGTGTCCACTTCAGCGGCACGATGCAAATCCAGGTCGCGCTGGGCGACACGTCCCTCATCGCACTCCTCGACTCCGGATCGACCCACAATTTCATCTCCGAGGCAGCCGCACAGCGCACAGGACTTCCTCTGCAGCACCGTCCTCACCTGACGGCCACGGTCGCCAACGGTGAGCGCGTCTCCTGCCTGGGCGTCATCCGCCAGGCCGCGCTCACCATCAGCGGCGACACCTTCGCCGCAAACCTGTTCGTCATGCCTCTCGCCGGCTACGACGTGGTCCTCGGCACGCAGTGGCTCGCGTCGCTGGGGCCGATCCTCTGGGATTTCCGCGCCCGGACGATGACATTCAAGCGGAACGCGCGTGACGTCTGCTGGCACGGGATGGCAGGCCCTGCCGCACCCGGCCTCCGCGCAACTACTGCCAGCGCCACCCTGCTGGACGAGCTCCTCGACTCCTTCTCCGACGTCTTCGCCGAGCCCCACGGGCTGCCTCCTCCTCGCAGCCGCGACCACAGCATCATCCTCCTGCCATGATCGCAGCCTGTGGCGGTCCGCCCCTACCGGTACCCGGCGACGCACAAGGACGAGCTGGAGAGGCAATGCGCCGCCATGCTAGACCAGGAGCTCATACGCCGAAGCTCCTCGGCCTTCTCTTCCCCGGTCCTCCTCGTCAAGAAGGCCGACGGGTCGTGGCGTTTCTGCGTCGATTACCGCGCCTTGAACGCGATCACCGTCAAGGATGCTTTTCCCATCCCAGTGGTTGATGAGTTGCTGGACGAACTCCACGGCGCCAAGTTCTTCACCAAGCTGGACCTTCGCTCGGGCTACCACCAGGTCCGCATGTGCCCCGCCGACATCGCCAAGACGGCGTTCCACACACACGACGGGCTGTACGAGTTTTTGGTGATGCCGTTCGGGCTGTGCAACGCTCCGGCCACATTCCAAGCGCTGATGAACGACGTCCTGCGCCCTTTCCTTCGCCGGTTTGTGCTCGTGTTTTTTGATGACATCCTCATCCACAGCTCATCTTGGGCGGATCATCTCCGGCACCTCCATGCCGTCCTCACCGTGCTGCAGCAGCACTGGCTCTTCGTCAAGCGTTCTAAGTGCGCTTTTGGGGTCGCCTCCATCTCCTACCTGGGCCACGTCATCACCGAGGCCGGTGTCGCCATGGATCCCGCCAAGGTGCAGGTGGTCCGTGACTGGCCCCAGCCCCGCTCGGCGCGTGTAGTACGAGGCTTCCTTGGCTTGGCGGGGTACTACGGCAAGTTCGTCCACGACTACGGCACCATTGCGGCTCCCCCCTCACGGTAACAAGAAGAAGGAAGGGTTCCGCTGGACCCCGACGCCATGCGCTGCATTCCAGCCCTCAAAGCCGCGGTCACCTTGGCTCGGTTACGCCCACGACGGACTTTGACAAGCCGTTCGTCGTCGAAGCGCGGCGCGTCGACCCACAGGTTCGGGCGGTGCTCATCCAGAGAAACACCCGATCGCTTACTTTACCGCCGCCCGTCATGGCGCGCGCGACACCGTTTCCTCGCCGCCACGAACGGAACCGATCGGCCTCGCCCACGCCATCCGTCATTGGCGTCCGTATCTCTGGGGACGCCGCTTCCTGGTGCGCACGGACCACTACGACCTCAAATTTCTCCTCGACCGGCGCCTCGCGGCGATCCCACAAACATCATTGGGTCGGCAAGCTCCTCGGGTTCGACTTCACCGTTGAGTACAAGCCCGGCGCTTCACGAACACGGTGGTCGACGCTCTCTCGCGCGCGACATCGAAAAGGCGCTGTCCTCGCCATCTCCACGCCTCGGTTCGACTACATCGAGCGCCCCGCCGAGCTCGGAGACACCGATCCGCCCTCGTCGCCATCGGGGACGAGATCATCGCAGCACCGGCGGCGCCGTGGTCCCTCATCGGCGGCATGGTGGCCTATGATTCCCGCCTCTACGTTCCTCCGGCGTCACCACTATCGCCGAAATCATGACCGCCCGTGCACTAGGGCGGCCACGAGGGTGTGCTGGTTGACATGCACCGCCCGCCGCGACTTCCACTTCCCCAACATGCGCCGCTTGGTCCAGACTACGTCCGAGCTTGCCCCCCACCCGCCGATACAAATCGGAACGTCTTCATCTGGGCGGGCCTCTCGATGTTGCCGCCGGTCCGGCGATGCGGACTTCGTGGAAAGCCGCGCGTGTCGGGGAAAATCTATCATATCGACAGAGTGGATCGTTCAGCCAAGTATTGCCATTTCATTCCCCCGCTCACCCGTATTCGGCAGAGTCCGTGGCCTAGGCTTTTTCATCGACATTGTTCGACTCCACGGCATGCCTCGGTCGATGGTGTCCGACCGCGATCCGGTGTTCACTTCCAAGTTTCGAGGGAGGCGATCGCCTCATGGGCACCAAGTCGCACATGACAACGACTTTTCATACGCAATCGGATGGCTGACGGAGGCGACCAACCGTGTCATTGTCATGTACCTACGCCGCTTCACCCGTGACCGGTCCCGTCGCTGCTGGCTTCATTTGGTTGTCATGGGCGGAATACATCTACAACACGGCCTATCAAACTTCGCTCCGCGACACGCCGTTCCGGGTGGTCTACGGCCGGGACCCGCCTACCATTCGGTCCTATGAGCCGGGCGAGACTCATGTCGCCGCGTCGCCAAGAGCATGGCGGCATCGCGACGAAGTTTTTCGGAGGACATCCGCTACTGCGGCTTGAACAAGCCCAGCGGTCCGAAAAGTCGCACTACGACAAGTCGCACCATCAAGTCTCCTACGCGGTGGGCGATCGGGTTCTACTCCGTCTCACGCCATCGCCCGGCCGCCTCGGCGCCCCAGCGACCACTGGGGAAGCTGAAGCCTCGCTTCTTGGGCCGCATCGCGTCACCGAAGCTCATCAATGAGGTTGCCATGCGCTTCGCCTTGCCTCCGCACACTAGGTCGCACGACGTCTTCCACATTGGCCTCCTCAAGAAGTTCATCGGTGATCCGCCGGCTACACCGCCACCTCTCCCGGTCATCCACAATGGCGCCATTGTTCCGGAGCCCGAACAGGCAAAGGCGATCCGCCCGCTCATGGCGTTCGGACAGTGCTCATCCAATGGAAGGGCGAAACCGCGCCTCGCAACTGGGAAGATGTGGACTCCTTCCTCCACAAGTACACTACGTTCAGCTCGAGGACGAATTTGCTTTCGTCGAGGAGAGATGTCATGTGGGGCCACGCCTATATAAAGGAAACGGCGCGCCGGGATGGCCGCATGAGCCCACGGAGGATTTGGCGCGGTCACCATGCAGAAGGTAGCCGCCCGGTGAAGATATGGGCGTGATCTCCGGTGCATGCAGATCAGGAAGAAATGGCAAGTGGCTAGAAGGAAATAATAGCCGATCAAGGCCTTCGATTTAGGAGCAATTAGCTCCAATTTGTAGTGCCGAATGGCCTATATATGAGAATAATCAGGATGAATAATAATCAAGCAAGAATCATTACCTAATCTCTCTTCTTCCTCCTCTAAACCGACTGGAGCTGAGGGGCAAAACCTCGCCCAGCTACCACGGGTCGCGGCTACGAATTCCGTAGCAGGGGTCCTGCTAGTCTCGGACCTGACGTCCTTGACACAAGTAGTTTCAACTATTTACAGTCTATGATTGCACATTGTCGCCTCAAAAGTTTTTGTGTACAGCTCCACTGATTACAGGCCAACATTCGTTGAACTCACACTGAACACCTAGAGGGGGAGTAATGTTAACCATGAACTCAAACTGACTAGCAACTCAAATCACAGCACCGGAGGCTTACATAACGTCATCCTGAACATTATGTCAACAGGAGCCAAAGCATTTCAAGGGTTGGGGGAAAAGATGGCCAATCAACAGCACTGGAATCCGAGTCCACGTAAAATGCACATGCTGAAGCCCAGCATTGATGCAATATTGCATCACGATTCATCAATAAACAGAATTGCAGCTCAGCCTGATAAGGCAAGAATAGAAAGCAAGGAAAGCTACCAAACATGGTCAACTCGAACTAGATTTACGTGGAGTCAGAGACTCGAGGGGCGAAATTACAGCACGGCCCGGAACGCACGCACGCACGTCGAGAATCGCAATCGCGCATGGGCGACGAGGAGAAGGCTGTACAGCGTCGCCGGGCCACCGGGAACGGCCGAGCCCGACGGCGCCGACCCACGTCCCCGCACCCCCCCGGGCGACGAAATCCGGAGCAGCCCCAAGGCCGAGGCGGACGCCCGTCGAATCCAATCGCCATCGCGGGCAACGCTCAGAGAAACGCACAGAACCGTCGTAGAGATGCAAGCGTTCGAGCCCGCCGGGATCGGCGGGGCGGCGGAGCAGACAAGGCAGAGCAGGAATGGACTCACATGTGTGCAGGCACTCGGAGATGGTGGTGGCCTTGCGGAGCAGGTGGTCGCAGAGCGGGCACGTCAAGCAGCGCACGAGCAGGTCCCGCTTCACCATGGCCACGGCGCTGTCCCCCGCTGCACCGCCTCGCCCGCGCCGCTGCCGCTTGCCTACCCTCCCCTCCTGCTCCCCCTCCCCCTCCTCCTCCTCCTCATCCTCGCCGCCCACCTTCGCCGCCGCCTCGTCCTCCTCCTTCACCTGCGCCCCCTCCTCCACCCTGTCCTTGGCCTCCAGCTCAACAGCCGGCGGCTTATCCGGCGATGCGGGCCCGGTGGTCTGCATGGCGTGGGGCCCAGCCGCGAGGCTAGCTCCGCATGCCGGGGACGGGGAGGAGCGAAGCAAAGGCGCCGCCTTGTATTGCGCCGACGCCTCCCCTCCGCGTGGAAATGGGAGGAGAGATCCAAGGGCACGACGACGCCGAGGCGGAGGTGGAGAAGAAGGCCAGAAGGGACTTGAAGCAGAGGACGACGACGAAAAACAAAAATCAAATTTATTTACGTGCTTATCGAGGGACGAAAGGCAATGAAGGTGCAGAGGTGGTTTTATTTATTTCGCCATTCTTTTTCTTTGTTTACCTTTTCGCGACTGCTTTTTGTGTGACAAATAAAACCAAACGTGTTTGGAATTATGTGCTGGTGTGTTCTTAGACCTACATTCCTGTCGGGCATGAACTTTTGTTTTGTTTTGCTGTAGTTTGTTTTAGTTGGTGTCTGCAGAACATTTTTCCTTTTCATTAGAGATACTCTTTTTATTTTTTTTATGTTTTTTTGTGCTCGTGGTTTCTATAGAGCCCGTTCGGCTGGTACACAAAACTACTGTGTACTGGCTGGTTCCGACTGGTTTCGGCTGATTTAGTAGTGTTCTGTGAGAGAGGATAAGATAAAACAAGCCGAGACAAGACGAGCCGAACACGCTTAGAAGTTATGTCTACAACAACAATGGGTGTTGCGGCATTTATTCATCTTGTGTATAGCAAATGACAGAAAAAATGATTAATAAGTAGTAGAAAAATACTAGGGCAATAATAATGTATTAGGTGAAATGCCTAATAACGCCTTGCGCTAGCTTCCGTAAGAGTTTTTGGGTACACATTTGTCGGGATTCTCCTTAATGTAACAGCCTTACAAAGATAAACTTTTGTTTCCTTTTAATTTGTTCTTATTATGAGGGGTAGCAGATCATTTTTCTCCTCTTTATTAGAGATATTATATTTTTTTTGCGTGCCCATGGTTTGCCGAATCCATAAAAGATTGAAGATACGATATGATGATCGTAGTAGGTTTTACGACATTTATTTGTGTAGTGTATAGTATATAGAAAAAATAAATATGTAGTAGAAAGGTTTTGGAGAAATAATGTATTAGGTGAAACGCCAAATAACACTCTGCGCCAGCTTTCATAAGATCTTTTAGGAGCGATCTATTAGATTTTCCCATAATCAGCAATGGTCTTGAAAGAATAAACTATTGTTTTGCTATATTTTGGTGTCATTGAGAGTGATTGTAGGTTATTTACCTATTTTTTATAAGAAGTATCTGTTTTCGTGTTTATATATTTTTATGCGCCCATGGTTTTCTTAACCTACAAAGACTAAAGCAGTTATTGTTTTGGTAGGTTTTTGCGACATTTATTGCCTAGTGTACGCATACAGAAAAAAATATTGGTAGAAAGATATTGGAGCAATAATGTATTAGGTGAAACGCACAAAACACTCCGCGCTAGCTTCCGTAAGATTTTTTTGGCAGACATCTATCGGGATTTCCTTTTAGCGGTAACAGGCTTGGATAGATAAGGATGACAGACAAGATGCATGCATTACTAAGCGAGAAGCATGGCTTTTGAGTACAAAACGACACTGCGACGTTGCCGGTCTGTCATTGTCAAGCATCAATGTAAGAGTAAAACCGGATTCTTGGTAGCTAAATAAAATTGTTTCAGATGTATTTTGCTTTATTTTATTGCCATTTTTTTATCTCCCCTTTTGCATGAATATCTAACATGGCTTTGTTACTTCACATGCTCAATGTTTAATGTAGAATTTATAGGTATATTGGGTGTACAAATCCTCCTAATGTGTGTTGTAGAATGTATATATAGAGACGCATGACATACACAAGATTACTTTTTATTTATGGCCGCCATACCAGGGAAAACAAACCAAGACAAACATTGGCAGTGTTATTTGCTACTTACTCAATCCATCCCAAATTGTAAGGCGTTTGACTTTTTTTGACACCAAGTTTGACCACTCGCCTTATTCAAAAATTTGTGTAAAATATCACTTTTTCGTCGTGTTTGGTTTATTAATAAAAATTCTTCAAAAATGACTTAAATTTGACTATATTTGCACAAATTTTTTGAATAAGACAGTGGTCAAACTTGAAGCCAAAAAAATCAAACGCGTCTTACAATTTGGGATGGAGGAGTAAGATACACGAGGGCAGAGCATATGTACCATAACCAGAGTCCAGATCGAACCGCTCTCTAACCTTTGAGCTGTTTGGCAGGGGATGGTTTTGCTTATATACGTATAATAATAATTTGTCGTCCTTTTTGAAAAAGAAAACAATGTTTGAGTATATATGATAATAATGATGATGATGCAGTACATAAAATGGGGTTGTTTCATCTAATAAGCCAGATAGGAAATCAATAGGTCTCCGAGTTTATTGTGCGTGCCAATAAATTAAACCCGCAAATTTCTTGTTTCTTTATTAGGATTATTAGGAGCCATCCTAACTAACGTGAGCACAGATTTCCACGTGAATGGAAAAGGAAACTTCTCCCCGTGAGGGAAAACGAGCTAGTAGACTGATATCCCTGATGTGATAGACTAGTTACATTGCGTGCGTGTTATCGTACGAATCTGTCTCGTTTTTAAGCTGTGCCCGTTTCACATTTTCCTCACAAGTATTTTATTTTGCACCTCTTGCTAACTTGCTTCATGTTCTCCTGTTTTTTTTTTCCCGTGCGCGTGAGATCGACTCGCTGGCTTGCTGCAGACCGCAGGACGTTGTACGTACGCAGCAGCATGCACACAGCACATGCGGACGTCTGACGTCACGGCCAGGCGGTCAGCGACGACCGCGTTTGCCCAGTCCCACAGGAGTCGTCGCGTCGGCGACAGCCACGTAGCGGTGTCTGGGCCTGGGCTGTTACCGGGCCGAGGACACCCGCAGCGTGAGTGCGTGCCGGCCCGTTGCCTGCTAATGCTCCGGCGCCATTCCATTCCGTCGGGCCTAAATCGGGAACCTAGGACCAAGCCCAACTTGTCGAGCCCGCCGCCATGGTGCGGTCGTGTCGTCGTTTGGCTCCCCTCCACTTCCCACGAGCACGACGAGGATCCGGCCCGTCCCTTTCGTAACGGACGGCCCTGATCCCGCCAAGCTGCCGCTCCCGACCGTACACGATCCCATCGCCATCCACCGCACCGGCCGTCGGTCCACTCCGCCGTCCGCGCGCCGCGCCTCCCAGTCCCTCCGCTCCGCCGCCCCGCGCCCCCCCCCCCCGCGCCGTCCGTGCGTCGCATGACTGCCGCCGTCGCCGCGCTCCCTCCCGCGCGCGCCTCGTACGCCCCGCCGCGCCACGCTGCTCCCCCAGGTGCGTGACGCAACAGGCCGCGTGCAGAGCGTGCTGCAGCAGCAACAGTATTTAATTTAAATAAATAATTATTAGATAGATAATTTTTTTCCCAAGAGCAAAATCGAACAAGCAATCGTCTCACTGGTCAACCTGGCAGAACAGGTGAGGTGAGGTCAGTGGTGGATTCAGAAGGGAGGCTAGCGGATTCGGTTGCTTTCTCTCCTTCTCCTCCTCGTGTTCCAGTTTTGACCGGGAGTGCATTGGTTCTCGCTTAAAGCGTGTCGGCTGCGCTGTGCTGTGGCTGTGCCTGCAGGGACGCGTTTGGGCCGTGGTGGTCGCTGCAGCTGCTGACGCGGAGGGGCCGGAGGACGAGGACGAGGAGGGCGGCGGCGGTCTACCCCAAGATGGCGCGGCCGCCGATCCTGTCCGTCGCGCTGCCGTCCGACACCGGCCGCGTGCTCAGCATCCAGTCCCACACCGTCCAGGTCCATCGCCGCTGCCCTGCCTGATCCCGTCCTGTCATCCATCTGTTATCTGGGTTCCTGCATGCTCCCCTCGATGATAAGAGGAGCCCGGACTCTCGGACTCTGCAACTGCCTCTATGTCTTTGCGCATTCGGACATGGATGTAGAGCTGCGCTTCTCATGGTCCACATGTTTTGAATTCGGCAGCAAACCAGTGGTTTTGTGGGTTGTACCATGTGGACTAGGCTAAGAACACAGCTCTATGGAGTCTGGATATGGGTTCCTGCATGTAGGTTTCGGTTTGGTCCCTGCAAGTGTTCCCTTGATGTGTTGATGACATATATATATAAGATGCAGCCATGCAAGCCGCGTGATCTCACATTGTTGCCGTGGTTGTCGCCTACTAAACGGTGGCAGTTGCCGTGATTGTCGCCTACTAAACGGTGGCACAATCGCTTGTGCGCACGTCATCAGTGTGACTGTCGCTTACTAAGTGGTGGCACAATCATTTGTGTGAGGGATCAGTGGTTATGTCCGCTTTGTCTTTTGTATGACGGGCGGTCACGAGTTTGTGTTTCATTCCGGGTTTGTTCAGCCAAAATACTCTGCATGGATTTTGATTCAGAGTAGGAATTGTTAAGCATTTTCACCTTCTTATTTCATAGTATGCTCTTCTCATTCTCTGATTGCTCCAATTCAGGGGTATGTTGGCAACAAATCGTCCGTCTTTCCCCTGCAACTCCTTGGCTTTGATGTGGATCCAATAAACTCTGTACAGTTTTCTAATCATACAGGTAAAGGTACAGAATCTCATGTGCAATTTGCTTGGGACACCTAAACAATTCCCGATTTCCCGTTATGTGTTATCTCAGGATACCCAACATTTAGAGGTCAGGTTCTCGATGGCAAACAGCTATGGGATCTTATTGAAGGACTGGAGGCAAATCAGTTGCTTCATTATACCCATTTATTAACAGGTGAAACTTTCATAACTTCTTTTAACTAGACCTGCCCGTCCTTCATGTCTAGGAAATAGAAAGTTGATTAATTGCTTGGTCACTGATGATATTTCGCCATGATAGCAAGCAAAAAATCAGTGCCTTTTTATTGCCAAAAATATGGTTCATCATGCACAAAGTGACATGCTGTTTATGGTTCTCAGGTTATATAGGCTCAGTTTCCTTTTTAGATACTGTGCTACAAGTTGTTGACAAATTACGATCAGTCAATCCTGAT